GATTCAAAGCTCAATTTGAGAAATCAAAGCCCAACGGTGTTTTGTTCAAACCCAATTTCAAACCATTTTTCAAGAACAATCCTCAAACATGACATGCATGATCTTAAATCATTTTCAAAGCTTTAATGCTGTTTCAAAAGAGCTCAAACCTTCAAAAGCAAGATGAACTCATGGAGTATGACCAAAAGGTGGACATGCATATGAGGAAATATGGACTTACAACCTCAAAACTCAAGAATGACAACATGCATGCAACAATCAAGCTACAATTCAACATCTAAACCATGTTTTGGCTCTAAACTCCATCAATATGACATGAACCATGCAAGAATCAACTTTAAGACACAATTAAGAGGTTGAAACCCTTACCTAAGTCTTGAATGCAGGATGCACAAGCTCAACTATGCAAATCTCCTACAAATTCTTCAAGTTCTAAGCAAATTGTGAAGAACTCAAGCTTTCTCTCCCTCTCTCCCTCTCAAGTCGGCAAGAGTAAGAAAGTGGCTGAACAAAATGTTGCCTAAGTGTATAATGAGGCTCAAATATATTGTATTGAGTGGGCCACTCATGTGGCAAAATGGTAAATAAATCAAACTATGCAATTGATCAATATTTAATCTAATTTAATCATACCTAATCAGTTTTCAGATAATTATACCATAAAATCACATTAATTCTAAGGATCATAGAACACTAACCAATTCCCGGTTCGGCCGCCGATAAGGCCTTCAATTAGCAGTTTAAACGTAAAACACAAACAGATCAAATAATCAATCAAACAGATAGAATACAAATTAACATACACACTCAGTCAATTCAATTCCAGTTTTTCAGTCAGTCAGTTCAGTACTTTAACCAGTCCAATTATCAGTCATAATCAGTTCAGTTTAACGGTAATCGATGTTTATCAGTACAATCAGTCATTAATCGGTAAACAGTATGAGGGTTGTTACAAACATTGCTTTGTCCATTAATCAGGTAAGTTCAGCTTTACAAGTTTTACTTAAATTATATACCTTATTCAATTCTTGACATTCTTTTTCTTTTTCTTTTTCTTTTTCTTTTTCTTTGGTACAAATGGATAAACTCGTGCATGATGCTAAATAGTACAAGACTAATTGACGCTATAAGCATTTTTGGAAGTATTATATATTTTTGGATAGATGTGTATGGAAAATATTTCGATAGACTAGTAGTAATATTTTTGGATGGGTGTATAAGGAAAATATTTGGGTAAACTGATTATATTTTTTGATAGATGTACATGGATAAAAATTTAAATTGTAGGAATATGTACTTTAGAATTACTTGTGGATATAAATTTATAATAGTAGTTAACTTTTATTAAACAGGTTTAGGATTAGATGATTTGTGTATTTTGTTGAATGCCCTTGACTGAGATACTTTGTTGGTATGAATAATTCTAATTACAGATTATATTGAATGGATTGGATGGAATATTTGTCTTTAATTGCAGGTTTATTTTGTTGGATGTTGGCGGCCAAATTGTGATTTTGCCAACCAAAATGTTGGTAGGCAAAATGGTGCATTTGGCGACTAAATAATTAGTCGGTAAGCTTTTGACAACCAAAGAGTATGGTTGCGAATAGGTCTATTGTCGACTAAACTTTTAGTCGCGCAAACATTACTTTTGGCGACTAATATGTTTGGTCGTGGAATGTGACTTTTGGCAACTAACATGTTTGGTTGTTGAATATCACAATTGGCGACTAACATGTTTGGTTGTGAAATGTGACAATTGGCGACTAACATGTTTGGTTGTGAAATGTGACAATTAGCGACTAACATGTTTGGTCGGGAATATGTCACTTTTCGCGACTAAAATGTTTTAGCGATTAAATGGATTAGTCGCAGTAATGATATATTTAGCAACCAAAAATTTAGTCGGCAAATTCAACTTTTTCCCGACTAATAAAAGTTTTGGTCGTTAATTACTTTTGCCGACCCTCAATTGGCGACCAAAGTGGCGACCAAAAAAATTGGTTGCGAATGACTTTTGCTAACCAAATTTTTAGTCGGCAAAAGTGTAATTTCTTGAATATTAATATTGCCGACCAATCTTTTGGTCGTGGAATGTATTGCCAACCAAATTTTTTGGTCGCAGAATGTGACAATTGGCGACCAAACTATTTGGTCGTTGAATGTGCGAATTGGCGACCAACATGTTTGGTCGGGAAAATATGACTTTTGCGACTAAAGTGTTTTAGCTACTAAATGGATTAGTCGCAGTAATTATATATTTACCGATCAAAAATTTAGTCAGCAAATATAACTTTTTCGCGATCGCTAATTACTTTCCGCGACCCTCAATTGGCGACCAAAGTGGTGACCAAAAAAATTAGTCGCGGATAACTTTTGCCGACTAAAAATGAACTTTTGCCAACCAAATTTTTAGTCGGCAAAAGTGCGAATTCTTGCAGTGATCTAATCATCTGCTTTGAAATTAAATACATCTTTTAATTTCTCCATTATATCTCATGATTTCCTATTTCAAATTTCTCGTCATAACATATAACTCCTTTTTTTTAAAAGTAAAATTATGACATTTTAAAATATTAAATTTCCAAAAACTACCATTTCATTTAAAATTAAAGTAATACAATATTTTTTAAGAATATCAATTGTCATAATTATATTATATATATATATATATATTGATGAATTTAAAAGAATAGCAACATAAGAATTTTATATTATTTTAATCCTTAATTTTTTAAAAATAGACTAAAATTTTGAGACAATGAAAAATGAAATAAAGAATCAATATTTAAGGATCGATGAAGTAATTGAGATTGCATAAGAGAAGAAAAATCATCAAATTGAGAATATGTTATAAAACAAAATAAAATTCTATTAATGTATGTTTTCACTTATTATTTTTTTATATATAAAATTTTACTTTCTACATGAGACTAAAAAAAAACTAACATATTTTCTTTTAGGGGGATGCACCAATAAATCCCAAATTAATAACTTATGCACTGTTTTGTCCTAAAAGTTTTCTTATAGACTGAAAGGTCCCATTACAATGTTAATAACATCAGAGTCATGTTACAAACATTGGATTTCAAACATCTAATGTTCATCAAATTTCAATAATGTTTGAAAATATAGGATGAAAAACATCTAATGTTCATCAGATTTCAATAAATTTTGAAATTATAGAATGAAACATCAGATCATTTACATCATTCACATCATGTTGATGTAAAAATGAGACTAAATGGAGCATAAGAAAATTTTTAAGACTAAATAATTCAACGTTTAAAAAACTAGGACTTATAAGTAAATTTTCCTTTCTTTTTTAAATAGGTATCAAGAAAACTTTAAAAGAAAAAGTCAACTGCTATAACTGCAATAAAAGATTCGGTGCTTTTTCACTAAGGCCCCAGGACGAACTTTTTTTTTATGGTCTGCTGTGACCCATACATGCTCAACCACTATGGTGTGGGTCATTTATCTTGGGTTTGCCTCCCATGTTATGTCAAATTTTGTTTTTTTTTTTTACCTGCTTGGTTGAAAAATAGAATTGTATGATTAATATACCCAAAATAGAATTGTATGATTAATATACCAATGTCTCAACTAATTCAAGAGTAGGTTTGTAAACGAGTTGAGTTAAATTGAGTTGTGTTTCAATATGTTTGAAATTATTATTATTTTAATGAATTTGAATTTGAGTTCGAACTCAAATTCAATAAAAATTTAACGAACCGAGCTCGAACCGAGTTGACTAGACTTAACTCGAGTTCGAATCTATTCACGAGCTTTAACGAGTCAAAAAAATTATAAATTTATATTTATGTATGAGACTAAAATTACAAATAAAATTTGGATTATATAATATATATATATATACTAAAAAAGTCAATATTTTATTAAAATAATAATATCTGTTATTATTTATATTTATATTTTTTAAATATATAAATAACATATTTATCTTATTTTTTATACATATTTTTACATTATTTAATATATAAATAATAAATATTAAACGATCCAGCTAACGAGCCGAGCTTACGAATGTTTGGACTTAGTTATTAAAAATTTAACGAGCTAGAGCTAGAGCTAGAGCTCGAGCGCGAATGCAAAAAAAATTTTAACAAACCGAGTTCGAACGAGCTCTTACCGAGCCAAGTTCGAGCTTGTTCACGAACGGTTCTGTTCATTTGCAATCCTATTGCATGGATCTCTAGGACACTTACATTTAGCTAGTTATGTCAATTTTGTGCATACATTTTGGTTCAAATCTAGTTAGAATTATTTTGTTTATTATTTGAATTGTCATTGAATTGGGTATTGATTTATTTATGACATCGGAATAAAATTGCATCATTTACTATTCAATTGTAGTTTGTTGTATAAGTTTACGTGTGCCTTAAACTACGGCCCTGTGACCCATGACTAGTCATGCCTCGAATCATGCCTTGGATTTGGAGTGTGATAAGACTCTCAAAATGCGTGAAGTGATACTCAACTCTTTTGAAAACATTGTTAAAGGTTTGAAAACGTTTTGGCTAAAAGAGGGGTTGGATTTGGGTTCAGAATCTCACCAGTTGGATAGCTATTTTGGGAGGACTAAGAAGATTATCTGTCTTTGTTTCATCATTGAGGAGCTTTGCGGGCACCCAAATATTAAGAGTGGTCAAAATGAAATCTCTATGGTATCATAAACATTTGTACATATAAATATGGCAAGAGATTTAGTGATGCTCACGGCAATTACATATATTGAAGCATTTTTCAATAACCAAATCGGCTGATCCAAAAAATGTAAAGAAGTCATGGGTTCCACAGTGATGGAACCCATTGCTGTGGAAACCACAACTTCTCTCACATATTTTAAATCGAGCTATTTAAACAAATAGAGAAGCAAGACTAATATAATCTGAATTGTTTTTTCAACCTTTTTATTCAGTAACTCAATTGCTGCTGACACAGGAAATGAAAATTTGGACTTAATATTCACAGCATCATGATGGAAACCGATGAGCAAATTATATATTAACCATAAACAAAAGATTGTTGGAGTATACACAAAATGCTGCTATGCTATGGAACACTAAACATGGTTCTGCGAGGTTAATATGTACTAACTAATGGCAAGTTGTTGGTGCAAAATAAACAGCATAATATATTTTTAATTAGTACTCCAACAGAGAAGAGCTTTTAGACATATTTCATCTCAGTCGGGCAGACCTTCGCGCTGTCCTCCTAGCATCAGAAGTAGACACCGGCGGCACGAGAGAGGATTCAGATCCAGCAGTACCGGAATCAACAACAGCTCCGGATGTTCTGAGCCTCTTTCTCATGGAGGGTGGAGGAGGTGGCTGGTTCTGAGTGGACCCATTTGTGTCATCATCAATTTCCTCCACAGTTTCTATTTTGGAAACAGGAAGCAGCCATGGAGTGCCACAACCTGGACAAACTTTCTCACCCTGCAAATCATAGATTCAGCAATTTAATTTAATTTAATTCATTAAGTTAATTTGAAGTTCGAAAATATGGAGTTCGAAATGATACCCGTTTCTGGGAAAATTTCCTTTTTAGACAGTACTGATGCAATCGAACAGTACAACCTTCATTTTCGCACAACTCTGCCTGCTCAAAATAATCACGACAGAATATATGAAGATTCAACAGCAGCAACAAAGACCTTATGTGTGTCCAAGTATTGTTAGTTGGTTTGGGGTTGGGTGGGGGGAAGATTATTGAAAAAATAAAAGAAAATTGACAGCAAATTAGTCACTTTAAAATTTGAAAAGCAATTTCAGTGGGTGTAGCATATGAGACACTCATGTACCTAGAAACAATTGTAAAACGCTTGAAGATACTTCTAATTATGGTAAGATGATGGTCATTATTACATTCTAGTTCAAATAATATAAAACTACATGGCTTATGAAAATGTTCATAAGCTTAGATCAAGCAAGAAGTTACCCAAATTTTAGAAATTGTCACACATGGAATGTGGGAGATTCTTACTACTATCCTAATGGGTATGGGCACTACTGTATTTCATTACTAAACTACACATCCACATCTCACTTCAAACTTTTCGATTCCTCGGGTAGCTACCTCTAGAAAGGCATTCCAGCTTCAGAGGCAGGTGAGCTGGGTCAGGAAGGAGTTTGCCTGCTGAGATTAGATCAGATCCTACTCAAAGCACTCCACCACAAACAACAGACTTGGGACTGGATAGACAGTAGAGATACGAACTCCTAATCAAATGAGTGGAACCAAGTATGATTATATATTTTTTGCCAAGAGTTTTCCTTTGATCATATTATTGCAGTCATACATGACATGCAATCTTCTGGATCCTCAGGAAGCAAAAGAAGCAATGCAAGAAAATGCTTCCAGTTGATATACAGTTCAGATCTTCAAACTGAATTTCTATGTTCTCAAGTCTCAACTAAAGACGCAATAGTAAAACATTTCCAAGTTATAAACAACTTCATCAGAGAGTATATTCCTTATATCTGGAGAATAAAATTGGAGAAATTATTACCTTAATTCCAGCCTCATTACAAACTTCACATGCAGGAATATCATTATTACGGAACCAACTGCGCAGATCAAGGAAGGATCTAAGCCCCAGTCCAATGTTACCATCTGTGATGGAACAGAGCCACTGGTCTCGCACAAGTTCTTCAAGAGTTTTCTCCTTCTGAGACATTGAGAAGTTCTTCAATGCATGAGGAGCTTGAGCAGGAGTATCCTGAGATTGGGAACCTACTCCAGTTGAAACCTGAAGATTAACCAAAAGGATTGTCAGACCGACGGTATTTATAGAGGGGGAAAAAAAAAAAAAAAAAAAGCTACAACACCCATATGATAAGGAAACTTCACATTGCTTTACCAGTCATTCTATTAATTTGAAACTTTTTTCACACAATATGGCACAAATTAGGGTGATTTTACATTTCCTTAGTTCAGTATTACTACATAACTGTAATTGTTTGTTTGTGGAACATAATTTCAGGAAAAAAAATTTACGAAATGACAAATTTTCCTTCCATCAAAAGCTCCATTAAACTCAGCGAACATATTATAAAATAAATTTTAGCAAAGCTTATGAACACTATAACATGCCCCTCAATTTGAGGGAAACATCGGTTTGCATTTGAGCTTTATAGTCTTCCAAACACATATATTGCATTTGAGTTTTATAGCCTTACCATTTTGTTTTTTTGACAAGATTGACAAATGTGTGTCCCACCTAGGAGGCTCGGACTTGAACCCTGCACAGGACAATCAAAAATCTGAAGAGCCCATGCAACATCTAATCGTTTTTCTAATTTTTATTTTTCATTTTTTAAGGGCAACTTGACCAAAATGGTAAGGCTTGCTGTTATCATCCTTGGTGGTCTGGATTCGAGTCATATAAACCACCTCTCCAAAAATGGGAGTAAGGTTCTCTAAATCTTGCCGCCCTAGACCCCACTTAAGAGAGAGCCTTGTACGCTACGTCGCCCTTTTTTTTTGTAATTCAGAAACATCAAAAACAAAACATGCATGAGCTTTCAGAAAGAAAAAGGTCAACTAGTGATTCTATTTTCTTTGGGAAGCAGAGAAATACACAAGTCAAAAATCATTTGAGAAATAACTACGAATTAAAAAATAGGGGTTTTCGGCCAAAAACCCATTGGCTCAACATTTTGGTGCGAAAAGGATGCAAATTAATTGCATCTTGCAAAACACCCTCCTCCATTAAAAAATAAGGTGAATTGACTATAATAACTCTGTATGTATATGGAGAGATAGAGACGGTTCGCATACACCAAACCATTCTCGCTGTCAATTTTTTTTCTTCTAAAATACTCTATAAAATCCTTATTCGAAGGCGAAATCATCGCATTTTGGTATAGATTCATCGCTATTTCTCTTGCACGTTGGTTTTCACATCACAAATATCTTCTACATAATCATTGATCATTGACTCGTCTCCAAGGCTGATCTATTTGAATATAAAGGTTGGAGGTTTAGATCTGTAAAAACCTCCCAATTTTAGCAAGTTTATTTAAATTCAAAGCCTTTTTTTTTTTTTTACTTTTTAGTTAATTTAGCTTGGCTAAAGAAGTTATATTTGGAAAGTTGTTTGGATTTTTTAAAAGTTAATTTGATGGTTGTAAGAAAAAAAGTGAAATAATTATGGTTTGGATATGATATTTTGTCTTATTATATATTTTAATTTTTTTTGTCTTTATTAATTATTTTAGCCAAAAAAGCCATAATCACACAGGTATGTGTAAATTTTGAAACAAAAATATTTTTATCTATAAGGTTATACCGTACAAATTGAGAATGCATCATGTCAATTTTTTAAATTTATTTATTAACTATCAAAGATTTATAAATCTATTAACAAATAAAAAAACAAATCTATATTCACATAGTATACAAGAAATTTTTATTTAAAGTATAGATTATGTTTATTATCATGTAGCCATTTTCGCTCAAATTATCAAAAACTATAAATATTGAGGCATAGATCTTGGCCATTAGATTAGAATGGTCTGACACATTTTTGATAGATCACAAGATCAAAAAATGTTGAAAAATGGGTGGGTGCTCGAATTTCGTGGGTCGAAATTTGGGTCGAATTCGAAGAGAGGGAGAGAAGAGAGGAGAAGGAGAAGAGAGGGAGACGGGGTGCTGGTTCTGTCGACGTCCTCGTCGCCTCGCCGTCCTCGTCGTCTCGCCGTCCTCGCCGCAGCTCCGTCGCCTCGCCGTCCTCGCCGTAGCTCCGCCTCTGCCTCTGCCTCGCCGCCACACCTCCGCCCCTGCCTCAGCCCCGAGTTTGTTGGCCCCCTCCCCTCCCCCTCCTTCTCTTCCTCCCCTCCTCCTCCTTCTTCCTCCCCTCGTCTTCTTCTTCCTTCTGCTGAAAAAAAAAAAAAAAAAAAATACAAAGATCAAAACGACGTCGTTTTGATCTTTCGACCCATTCGACCCACGAATTTTCGAGCTATCAACCGGTGTTGTTTTTTTTATTGGCAAAGGCTACCCCTAAAAAGACACATAGGGCTATTTTGGGAAGTTGGCTTTTAGCGGCCTCTAGCTTGAATTAGAGTTTTGATAAGGTCGGCAATGACGATTGGGGTAATTGGATTATGCAACAACACAAGCAACCTCTTTGTTCTTCTCTAATGTAATTAACAGACTAAAATATTAGTAGTAGAATTAAAAATCAGCTGGAATTTTTTTGCAAGTGTGAATGAGAATAAATAAATAAATAATAGCACGGAGGTATGATTGATTGATGGAGTTTTGGCTTTGCATGGAATTGAACGTACAATTAACTCCATCGGCAGCATCCGTCAGATCGATCACATATTTTTTTGAAAAATGAGTATGAGCCTTAATTAGTGTTATCACTAATAATGTGGTAGTGGGGTCATTAGAAATAATTTGATTTTTGACTTTGATGTTGTATTTTTTTTTCTTTTTTTTATTGAGTGCCATGTCATTAGTGATCTTTTTAGAGTTCCAAAATTAGTAATTTCTATCATTGTTATATTTTTTTTATTAGCAAAGGCTACCCTAAAAAGACACATAATCATAATAATTCATAACTTTATTCATTACAATGATTAATAAATTTACTCACTACAAAAAAATCATAATATTCATTATATATCACAATAATTTATAACTAAGATATTTTTTTTTACCCTCTATTAATTCCATCACAATAATTTTTAACCAACCCCACATATATAGCGTCATAACTTTCTTATGAGGTGTATGGTAACATTTCCCGTTGTGAACTCTTTTTGGTGGATCCTAGTGTTACCAGAGGACCTTTTTGTCATTAATGAGAACACAACACCCTCATCTTTTTTAACGGGGGGATGCCAACCCATTGTACAAAACAAGAGTGACAGAGCATAGTATCAATATTATTATATATTATTATAATATAATTGTAAAATTATTACGAAGTTGTGTAGGAAATGCTTAGAACTCAAGAGGAAGAAGCAAGAATTGTGAAATCGTTGACCAAAGTGAAAGGGTATATTCCTCAATATGCTGTGATTCTGAGTATAATTTCACTTTAAATAGCCGGCCACTACTCTTCTCCCCCAATCTAATCATATCCCTCTCTCTCTCTCCTCTTACTGTTACACTCCTTCCATCTGTTCTCTCTCTCTCTCCCCTAAAAGTGCAAACTAAAGCAGGTATGTCTCTCTCTCTCTAAAAATTAGATAAAGTTCCTTACTGGTTCAAATTGGATTACCCACTGTTTTAGATACCTTTGCAACTTTTCATGTTTTTTTGTTTTTGCCCTTTTTTCATATGAAAATAACAGGCAATTATGTGTGGTTCACCAATTAGGTGTTTTGGTGTGTGTATATATATATTTGTTCATCTTAAAATGATACTGTTAATATTATCCATATCCAAATCCAGATAGGATTTCCATGACATGCTCTGCTTCCAATCATCCTGCTTCTCTCTCTGGGTTGGGGGAAGGAGGGATCCTTCAGTGTCCTTTTGGGATCTTTTAGTTGTGTCTTTGTATTTTTTTTTTTTTTTCAGTTTTCAAAAATAAAACCAATAAAAAGTTGGACAACACAAGCCTGTCTTCATTTTTATGCAAAAATTAGTATTCAAAATTAATTTTTGGATATTTTCTAAAAATATGTTGTCTTAATATTATTTTAAGAATGGTTCGTCAAACAAGTTTTATGTTCTTTTCAAAAAATAAAAACCGACATCACAAAGCAGGGGGGGCAAAAAGAAAAACACAAAAAGAATTGTTATAGATGGAAATTGAGTGTGTTTTTATTTTATTTTACTTTAAGAATGAATAAATCTGAAAGTATTATGAAACCTTTAAACCTGCTTAACGCTGTGTTTGGTTGGAGGATTTGAGAAGGGATTTGGAAATGAAAAAGGAAACGTTTTATATTTCATCTAGTTTCACACACTTTTTCTATTTTCCTTTCCAAATTCCTCTCAAAATCTCCCAACCAAGCACAGCATAAAAGTCCAAGCGAGAAGAACTCTCATCTATCAAGCTCCGGCATCTTCTCTGTGTTCTGGCTTTGTCCATTTTAAAAATAAATAAAAGAAAGTTTTGGCATCTTCTTGTGTATATCCTTTTGTTTGATTATGATAAATAAAAAAAAGATTAATTTTATATACTTACCTTTATTTATCTCCATTTTATACTGGATAATATGTATGTGATTGTGATTAGGTCTATATGCGATTCATATATAAAATAAATTTAAATTATAAATTAATAATTTAAAATAATTTTTGAATAATTAAATTTAAATTTATAATATTAAAGAGGGATAACGTGGCAAGTGGGTTTATGATATTTGCACCAAAAATACTTTAGACCACTAATTATTAGTGGTGGTTCTAATGATGTCTCACCCACTGTCACATGTGTTTTTTGCCTTATTTTTTTTATTTTTTTTATTTTTTTCAATTACCACCTCACTAGTGGTGGGATTAGTGATGACAAATTAACAGTCTATAGCATTGCTCTATTTGCGCCTATGAAGTAGAAGATATTTTTTCCCCGTAGGTCGTACGGTACACCTAGTTGCCTTCATTCATTCATTGATTCAGATTACAGGCTGGCTTTGCAAAAGTCACCTCTCTTGTATACAGTTGTTCGTTGGTCTCGTCTCAGTTAACCACCACAAATGTTCTTTTCATTTTTTTTTTTTTTTTTTTTTCGGGGTGGGGTGGATGGGAATTCAATTTAGTGTGGTACTTGTAAAAAAAAAACAAAAAAACAAATAAATGATAAAATCTTATATACATTAATAATAAATATTATATTGATTTTTCATGAATTAGTCTTTCATTTTTTTTTTTGGGTGGGGTGGAGGCGAGATTTCAATTTAGTGCGGTACTTGAAAAAAAAATACAAAGAAATGGTAAAATTTATATATATTAATAATTAATATTATATGATTTTCCATGAATTAAGTAATAGTTTTGTTCGTAGTAATCACCTGGGGATGATTTTTTTTTTTTTTTTTTTAATCAACTACAAATGAGAAAATTATAAAATATTTCTGAAATATTACATGTTCGTATTCTTTAACCAATTATTATTCATTATGTCTCATCATATTTCCCAATCAATATAATATATCCTACTTTTCTATTATTTTCGTCAATCACAATATTATAAAAGTATCACGTGTTTATATTTCGAGATTACTGAATGTTTCTTTCATTATTAATATCTTTATTTCCATTAACTTTTATGGATTTTAATTCATATTAGTTTGATTCCATTAATTTCATAATTACACGCTTATTTGGTTTTGATTTATATTTGCTGTTACGTTTTTTATTTTTTTAAAACTAGAAACAAAATTTTATTTGATATATTATTTTCTTCTAAAAGAAATTTAATTCTAATTTTTAACAAAATTTCACTCTCTCCCCTCTTCGCCACTACCACCCACCATCAACAACCTTCAAACACCTTATGGTGAGTTTTTGGCAACCAACCAATTCTAACGTTATCCTGACAACACTTTGGCACCAATTCGGACGGTCACCTCTAGTCACGCCGCACCACCGTTTACAACATCCATCCATTCCCACTGTTGACCACACTCCTACAATTTACTGGGCCTTATTTGTTTGTCTTAATTTGTTCTCAATATCTAATTTTTTTTTTACATTAAGGCCTTATTTGTCGTAATTTAAAAAAATTAAAAAGTTAAAAAGTTACTACCTATTTAAATCGCATCATCTTTTTTAAGTCACATTATCTTTCTACCACATCACTTCAAATTCAACCCATATTTTATAAAAAGTCAAAAAAATGTACTTGTTTAGATCATTTCAAATCATTCCTAAATAAGTTTTTTGATTTTATTTTTTATCAAAAAAAATTATTTCTTGTTTTTTTTAAATAAAAAACAAACAATTGATAACATTAACAAAACCATCTTGTCAAATTGATAACGGTCCTGTGGTTTAATTATTTGATATTTCTTCCATTATATGTACTATCACTCTGAGTTGGTTTGAAATGGTGGTTGGTTTTTTGATTTTTTTAATTATTTTAATTTGAGATTAAAAAAGTTTATTTTGGGATAAATTTTTTGATTTTTATGAGAGAAAAAATAAAATAATTATGATTTAGATGTGATATTTTGTCTTATTAACTTTTTAATTTATTTTATTTTTTTATAATTAAAATAGTTAAAAAAATTAGATTTTTTAAAAAGTCAAACGAAGACTTTGTTATTTAAAAAAAAAAAAATAGTAACACTTAGCCTCCGTTTGGGAAGTGGGTTGGCTTTTTGGTTTTTTTGGCTATTTTAGCCTGAGCTAAAAAGTTTGGTTTGGGAAGGGCTTTTTGGCTTTTTGGTTTTTTTGATTTTTTTTTATGAGAGAAGAATGTAATGATTATGGGTTGAATGTGATATTTTGTTTTTTGTGATTAAAATAGTCTATTTTGTCTTTTGTGACTAAAATAGCCAAAAAAGCCCCGTTTAGCTTTTGCCAAACGGAGCCTTATTGTTTTTTGTGTTTTATAAGTCCTGTGATATAATTTTGATGGTACGATGGCAATAGACAAACCACTTAAAGAAGAAGAGGTTTTCTCCTGGAAAGTGACTTTTTAATTTTTCAATTATTTTAGTTTAGATTAAAAAGTTTTATTTTGAATAAATTTTTTGATTTTTTAAATTTTTTTAAAAGAAAAAATAAATTAATTAAGATTTGAATGTAATATTTTATAATTTTTTAACTTAATTTTTTTGATTTTTTAAATTTTTGTAAAAAAAAAAATTATTTATAATTTAAATATGATATTTTATGATTTTTTAACTTAACTTATTTTATAATTTTATAACTAAAATGTCCCCCACCTTCACATGCCAAACATAGCCCAGGATATTAACTGTTTCACAAGAAAATATGAGTGTGTATGCGGATAAGGATCCTTTCATGTGGGCTGTGTTTTTCTTAGTGGGCTCCACGTCAAATTTAACGTCTGAAACATTATACATATTGTAGAGAATGTAATGAAAATTATTTATATAAAAAAATAAATTTATTAGATATTTATAATCATATAATTAAATTATTGTTGTTCTAGAAAATATGGACATTTCATTCATAAAATTAAATTTATTGTTCATATTTTTCAAAATAAATATGATCATATCACTCATGTTTGATCAATTTAAGTTTTTTTTTTTTTTTTTTAATACATAAATGATCTATTTAACCAGTGACACTATAATTTTAACTCAAAACATGTTTTGTTTATTTTTATTCTTTAATTAATTATATAATTCACGGGTGACTTTATGGTGTGGTTGTTGATCTGTCTATTCCATCGCCCATAGCTTTTGGTGGAAATTTCCAATTGTCTGCTTTGAAAAGTCATCGTTGTACCAACAATTAATTTATTTTAGATGATGATTTTATATTTTTAAAATCAATTTACTATAGCCTCTTTTGGAGAGTTAGGTTGAGTTAAAAGTAAATTTTTAACTCATTTTATATTATATCATTTTATATATTTTTTATACATTTTTTAAAAATAAATAAAAAAAAATAATTAAAAAGTTAGCTTTTAATCCCCTTCTTAAAATATAAATGTTTTGTAACTAATTTTTTATGACTGCATGCCAGTTGGCAATTGACTGAATTTATTTCCTTATTCCAAAGAATTACACAATTGTTTTCCTCTTAAATTCATTTCTTGTTTTCTTAAAAGTTGCAATTGTTATACAGAAAGATGTGGCTTAAGTATAAAAATTCTGATGATACATATATCATTTTTCATAAATTTAAGCAATTGAATGATAAAAGTGAATTTCACTCTTTCTGATCAGCCTTTTTGGTGTAATCCACAGAACAGTTGGAAGAATTAAGACTAAAATCTAGCCATGGCTAGAGATCAATTGCAAGTGCTCAATGCACTTGATGTTGCCAAGACCCAATTGTATCATTTCACGGCTATTGTCATCGCCGGTATGGGTTTTTTCACAGATGCATACGATCTTTTCAGCATCTCCCTGGTCACCAAGCTACTGGGCCGCATCTATTACACCGACTTAACTAAAGCAAAGCCCGGCACTTTACCTCCTGCTGCCGCCTCCTCTGTGACCGGTGTCGCCCTTGTTGGCACCTTATGCGGCCAGCTCTTCTTTGGTTGGCTCGGTGACAAAATGGGCCGCAAATCGGTCTATGGGATGACTCTAGTTCTCATGGTTCTCTGCTCGCTTGCCTCTGGCTTTTCTTTCGGGAAGAGCGCAAAGGGGGTCATGGCCTCCCTTTGCTTCTTCCGATTTTGGCTAGGGTTTGGCATTGGTGGCGATTATCCTTTATCCGCCACTATTATGTCTGAATATGCCAACAAGAGGACTCGAGGTTCTTTTATCGCCGCGGTCTTTGCAATGCAAGGGTTTGGGATTTTGACAAGTGGGATTGTTGCCCTAATTGTGTCAACCGCCTTCGACCACTCCTACCCGGCTCCCCCTTACAGTGTCAACCCATCGCTCTCTACGATTCCCCAGGCCGATTACATTTGGCGTATTATACTTATGTTTGGGGCTGTCCCGGCTGCCATGACTTATTACTGGCGGATGAAGATGCCCGAGACTGCCCGTTACACCGCCCTTATCGCCAAGAACGCGAGGCAGGCCGCTCAGGACATGGCTAAGGTGTTGAATGTCGAATTAGACCCTGAAGAGGCCAAGATAGCCAAGATGGCTGAAGAACCCAGGAACTCCTTTGGTTTGTTCACCAAGGAATTTCTTCACCGCCACGGGCTTCACTTGCTAGGAACTACCACCACATGGTTCTTACTTGACATTGCCTTCTACAGCCAAAACCTGTTCCAGAAAGATATCTTCACCGCAATTGGGTGGATCCCATCAGCCGCACAAATGAATGCAGTTCATGAGGTTTTCAGAGTTGCCAAAGCACAAACCCTAATTGCCCTATGTAGTACTGTCCCGGGCTACTGGTTCACAGTCTTATTCATCGATATTATTGGAAGATTTGCCATTCAACTGATGGGTTTCTTCTTCATGACCGTGTTCATGTTTGCCCTTGCCATCCCTTACCATCACTGGACATTGAAAGAGAACAATATTGGGTTTGTCGTGATGTACTCCCTCACATTTTTCTTCGCCAATTTTGGGCCCAACGCAACCACATTTGTCGTGCCAGCTGAGATTTTCCCTGCTAGGCTGAGATCAACTTGCCATGGAATTTCTGCCGCAGCTGGAAAAGCCGGTGCTATAGTTGGGGCATTCGGGTTTTTGTATGCTTCACAGAGCACGGACCCAACAAAGACTGATCAAGGATACCCAACTGGAATCGGTGTGAGATACACGCTGATATTGCTTGGATGTGTCAATTTCTTGGGGATGTGTTTTACATTTTGTGTGCCAGAGGCGAAGGGGAAATCGCTTGAGGAGATGTCGGGTGAGAATGACGAAGATTGGGTAGAGGCACCAGGAGCAGCAGAGGTTCGTGTTTCTAAGACCGTTCCGGTTTGATTTGGGTGAATTGTGAGTTTGTCAAGTTTAAAATCTGGAATTTCAGAAATGGTCTTAGGTCCTTCAAATTATATGTGACTAATGTATTTGCTTTTCTATTTCTCTATTTCAAATGCAAAAGTACAGTGTGTTTGTTTGTTGTTACACTCTATGATAGTTACACGAGTTATTTCTTTTGAATTATATTTACTTCCATTTTATTTTCTCATTGAGTAATGTTTTTTTTTATTTTATTTATTCATTGCATTTTTTCTCTCTTAAATAAGACAACCCCCATCTAAAAATGTGTAAGATAATCAGCTGGCATTTTTGTGAAAAACACTATTAGTAAGCTACAAAAATAAATAAAAAGAAATTTAGAGAGAAAATAATAGACAAAATGCAATGATGTCTGCAACATTCGTTGTGGACAGAAAAAAAAAAAAAAAAAAAAAAAAAAAAAAAAAAATCAAAATGTTCATGTCCTCTCCTCATGTGTTGGGTTTGTATTTGGAATGTTAAGGGTCCATCATTTATTGGGGCTTATAACATATGCATGGGCTTGGTTGCTAAGAAGTCCAACATACGTTGTGTTTCTTCTCCAGGCCAGGGTTTGGAGCAGGATTGTCCCAACTAAACAGTATTGTTGGGGCTTCGGGGATCTGCCATGAGATGCACTTTAATGATTAGAATAGTTCATATTATCAGTCCATGCCAGTATATCAAAAATACAAAAAAAATTATATTGATTAGATAACTGCAACTGTATGATATGATCTAATCATGGATAATTGCATTAATTTTTAAAATAATGGGCGATGGGTATGATTTTTTATTCTTATTATGTAGTTGATAGTATTATTTTGAAGGCAATTGTGGTTTATGCAAGGAAAATTTAGCTAAAATTGTTTCATTGGACTCTTATATAGTGAAAATGACAATTCAATTTATTTTATTTCATAAATCTTTTAAGGAGAAGACGCATAATTAAGTAAGAACAAAATAAAATATCTTTCTTTTTTCTTGGATAATATTGGTAGAGTAACATATTTCTAATTACATCAATTTCGACAGAATTTTTTTTTTTTATATAAAGAATTTCATAATCAACATGAATCTTATTTGATAGATCTTGATGAGAGAATTCTAAAAATACTAATTTTATTAAAAATTGATATTTAGATCAAAAGTTATATTATTTTAAAATTTAATATTTTGGTAATAATGATATGTGTTTGACTTTTTAAAGAAATTTTTTTGTACATGTCATTAATACATTAAAGTTTTGTTATGAATTTTTTTTTGACTAAATCTCCCTTTCCGCAATGGGGATCTAATCATGTGACTGCAATTATCCTATTAAATTTTAATTTTTGCTTAAATAATTTGTGCAAAAAAATCTTAAAAAATAAATAATTCAAATTTATTAAGATAGTCATGTGGTAAGCTCACTCAAACCCAAGAACACGATGTATTTGGAAGACTCTACTGGAAACAAACCTACTCCCAATGAAAATGAAAGAATTTGTGGGGACGTTGGAGAGGGGTTAAACATTGAAAGGAAAGTTGATGTAGGACAAGATTTTTAGATTTTTTATATTTTTATTTTTAATATTTTTGATATGTTATTTTATTAGGATTTTTGTAATTTAGTATAAATATTTTAGAATTATTAGGTTTCTTAATTTTATTATTTTGGAATTAGATTTTGACTAAGATTTTAAATAGTTTAGTTTCCTGTTCTCTTAGGTTTTCTAATTTGTATTGATTTAAGTTTCTTAATTTATTTTAGAATTACTTTTTCTAGAAGTGTTAGGTTTATTTTATTATAAATAGCTATGTAAGCCTTATGGCAAAGACAACTATTATTCAACTTTTATTCATTCAATATTAAGATATTTTCTATTCCTTGTGGATTCAAGATTCTATTTTTCTTGTGGATTCGAGAGCCCCTTTCGTCTACTAGAACGATATCTAGGGTTGGTTTGGAATGCTCTAAAAAAGTGCACTTTTTGACTTATTGGCTTATATGGGTTGGGTTTGGATTGGGTTTGATGTGATGTGTTAGAGAGGTGATATGATTTAAATAAGATGATGTGACTTAAATAGAATTGTGACTTTTTGACTTTTTATATTATTTAGTGTACCCCAAACCAAGCCCTAATCTCCGTGTATTCCGTTGCGTCAAGTGCTATCAGAGCATGGATTCGCCTAGCTTGATGACACAAGACAATGGAGAACACACAATCCCTATTGACGTTGATCGTAGGGTGGAAGCCATATGGGATGCGATTGAGGAACATCGGCTAGAGGTGCATGAACTTCGCAATGAGATTTGTAATCTACTTGCCGATTTGGGACCAATCGTCAACCAGAGGCAACTAACAGTTGACAGCAATTGCGCCGGAGGATTCACCCGAGGCCAACCTGTTAGCTTACGTTATTTTGCAGAAATTTCATATTTTAACGGTTCAAGTAAGTTTCAAAAAGAAGATTTTCTTGATTGGTTGCTTGATCTTGAAAATTTCTTTGAATTCATGAAGATTCCTCATGAAAAGAAGGTTATATTTGCATCCTACAAACTTGATAAAATTGCATTGAAGTGGTGGAATGGGTTACAAGATTATCGAGTTTGCAAAGGTAAAGACAAATTTCATTCATGGTTAACAATGAAAAAGTTTTTGGCAACAAAATTTTACTTTCATGATCATGAAGATATATTATCATATACAAATCAAGATACGTCCATGGAGCTGGTAAAACATTGCCATGAAATTGTAGTTGAAAAAGGAAAGAATTCGCATCAAAATATGATTTGTGGTGAGAATGGTTGTAAAACTAATGAAGAAAATACAAAGTCTTGTTCGAGTGTTGATAATGCATCAGCACATGGTAATTTGAATATTGAGGAGAAAGTTTTACAAACAAGTCATAAAAATATTGAAGAGGAAGGAGATCTGATAGAGCTCAGTAATAAAGAGAAAATAAAAGAAGAGATAATACAACCACCGTGTGCAACAAAGAAATTGATTGATGCAACACTTAATATTCCAAGGTTGATAATCAAAGGATCAATTGAATCTGGGATGGTGCAACATCAAGAGAGCATTCAAGTTCTACATGAAGTAAACTTTGTTGATTTTCTTGGTGTTAAGCAATTTAATTTGATTTTCAATGCTTGTCAAATTAATCTTGTCAACCAGTTGAAGCATATAGAGAAGAACCTTCAGAAAGAAAGTTTTTCTACATAAAACTTTTGGAAAAAGGGCAAGCAACTGAAATATTCAAAATATCTCTTTATTTGGTAAGGAAGATGACAGATATCTAATATGAACTCGAGGATGAGTTCTTTCAAAGAAGAGGAGTCTGATGTAGGACAAGATTTTAAGAATTTTTATATTTTTAGTTTTAATATTTTTGATATATTATTTTATTAGGATTCTTGTAATTTAGTATAAATATTTTAGAATTATTAGGTTTCTTAATTTTATTATTTTGGAATTAGATTTTGACTAGGATTTTAAATAGTTTAGAATTCTAGTTTCCTATTCTCTTAGATTTTCTAATTTGTATTGATTTAAGTTTCCTAATTTATTTTAGAATTACTTTTCCTAGAAGTGTTAGGTTTATTTTATTATAGATAGCTATGTAAGCCTCATGGCAAAGACAACTTTTATTCAACTTTTATTCATTCAATATTAAGATATTTTCTATTCCTTGTGGATTCAAGGTTCTATTTTTCTCGTGGATTCGAGAGTCCCTTTCGTCAACTAGAACGATATCTAGTCTCCGTGTATTCTGCTGCGTCAGAAGTAGTAGAGAAATGAAATGAAAATTGTTTCAAAATTCTGGTTTTAGTGGTGAATTAGGCAGATTGGATTAGTTTCTTACATGTAATTTTCCATGGTTAATAGGGAATTGGAAAAATAATATTACGAATTCTAAATAAAATATCAAAAAATTTACATAATATTTATATAAGTGTGAGACTTACCTCACATAGGACTTGTGTAAAAAATTTAATACTTATCTTGAGGTTTTTAATAGTTTTGATTTTTAATGGATTGCATCTAATTCAATCGTCATTGAAGTCCACTACCTCAAATAAGTAGTTGTTTGGAATCACCTAAAAAATATAAAAAGTTAAGAAGTCATTACAAAAATAAAAAAGTTTATACTATTCACAATTTTTGGGTGGGAAACTGGGGTTGATTAGTCAAAGGCTAAAAAGACAAAATTGTCCTTGTTTGTCCCTGAGAGGGTAATTTATATGTAAATTGGGCCGAGCTGGGTAATGGGCCACTCTGTGGGCCACAGTAAGAAGGGCTAAGTAAAAAGGCCTTGTAATTAGTCCGGTCCAGAGGAGCCTTGCAGATAGCCTGGTCTGAAAGAGCTTGATGGTTAGCTCGATCACCACGGTCGGCGCGGTGACAGTTAGCCCGATCAAGACCATCTTGAGCCGAGGTATTTTTTGCTTCTATTCAGGACCTTGCTGTTGAGTAGCTCGGTCCAAGTACGCTACGGATAGCACGGTCTACAGGCGAAGCCGAGGTACATGTTACACGTAAAACGCCGGGATAAATGTAACATGGGTATTGTTAGCTCGGTTACATTGTCACTTTGCCATGGCAATACTAGCTCTGTCGTTTGGGTATGCCATCGAGCTAGGACCATCTCACTTGGTTTAAGCAGTGAGAGGGGTATTGAAGGATAAGCATTATCTTTCAGGAGTGTGATTCCTAGGAGGGCTCTACATGGAGGAATAAGAGTCCTACTAGGATTGTGCCACGCGGAACCTATAAAAGCTCATAACATCACCTATGGAGAGGTAACACAACTTTGATTCTCGAATACACAGAGCTTTTGTCTATTTGTCCATTTTTGCTAACTTAGGCATCAGAGAGGTATCCGGCACACACCCGCCGGCTAGCTCACGTTTGTGTTTTCAAGGAGTAAAACAACGACGTTTGGAGAAGCGCGGACTTGATCAACAGGATTATACGAGAAGAATGTTTCTTGCTCGTACAATTGGCGCCGTCTGTGGGAATCACAGAAAGAACAAAACCTCTTGATCAAAGTTTTCCTCGCTAGATTAGACGCAATGGCGCACAATGAAGATTTGCTGCAGTTTTCCATTGACGGACAAACCCCAGAGGGAGGTGGGAGGCGCGAAGGTTTGCCTTCCATCCCTTCCATGGCAGATTTAGAGCCCCAGCGACAGAACC